GCTCGGGCAGCGCTGCTTGGGGAATTTGAAGCGATTGCCGAACTTCTCGCACAATGTCGTCGATCAAATCCTCTTGAGGCTGCGCCGAAGGCAACAGCTTGCGCAGCTCTTCCCGCACGATCGCTCGGATCGTTTCACGCAGGTCTTCGGAGTTACTGGCTTGAGCAGCAGCGCTTTCTGCAGTCAGGCGACGATTATACTGTCTGGTGCGCATGTACATGGTCTTTTCAATAGTGGTCGCTTCGGCTACAAATTCTTGGACGGTGTTCGGTGGATTTCTCATCAGTCTCGCGAAGAGCTCCTGTTTGACCCCTCACATGAGGAAACGAACTTTTTTCTGCTCAGGCATGTCTGGGTCAGCATGGCGGAATAGGCGGATCATTTCTTCTGTGAAAATGGCAACATTTTCATTTGGTAGCTGAACCCGGGTCTCTAATAAAGCAGCGGCCCTCTCTTTGCGAGCGACACTTGCGAACGTTCGCAGGAATGCACCGCAGAAAACATCCCACGGTCGGAGAGTGGACTCCCGATTTTCGAGCCAGGTCCTTGCGGTGTCTTCCAAATAGAAGAACACATGACGGAGCTTTTCGTCATGGTCCCAGTGGTTGAGGGCGGGCACACGGTCGTATGTTTCTAGCCAGAACTCCGGATCTTCGCACGATGACCCATGGAAAATTGGTGGTTCCCTGGGTTGACGCATGACCATCGTGGGCTGGGATGCTGCAATTGTCATTGTCGCTGCAGTCGCGGTCATCGCCTTGGTCTTCCGTGCCTTGTCTTGTAGAAGCCCGTACTCTGGTGGTAGTCCTTGCTGTCGGCGGCTTGTTCGCTGCTCCTGGTTGGCGTCGGTGTCGTCTTCGTGACGTGGCCTGGGTTCACGGCTTGACGGGGGGCGCCCGGTACATGAACGAAGCAGCACCTCCATCAGATGTCACGGGGTCGTGACGTGGCCGAAGACAGGAGACTTTATGTTGCGATTTAACTGTTTATTTGGGCGAACCTGTGCCCGGTAAATGAAAAGTTCGATTACAGTACCAGTCTTGCACAGATAGCAGTGAACGGAGTGTCGGCCGTCCATCAACTACTACAAGCGGCGAAGCCCGTCGGCATTTATACTCTTGCCGTCGAATGTTCCAGCGTTATCGCTGGCGGTGGCGTAGGTTCCAGAATAATCTGTACAGTTCGCAGAGTAGGCGTGATCTTATCGAAATGATCTACTACAGTCCGGAAGCTTCTTGAAAACTGCAGGCGCGGTTTGCGCTGAGAATTGTGTAGTGTTTTGGGACGATAACAAAACTTGGGGAAATGGAACGTGGCAATATGTAACGTGCATGCGCGTTATTCACAACCTCCTCCTGTCATAATGAACAACGTGATATACCAAAATAAGCCCTCCCGCAATTGAGGGCACACAACCAAAAACAAACATGAGTCAAAAACTAAAAAATAGCGTAACGAAGAAAAAAAGAAAATGCGCTGGGTTATGTGGCATCCAAAAAAACAAACTCCGCATCTGTTAGTAGAACGAACGCTTGACCGACGTAACTGTCACCTCGTTGTCCGCTTCTTGTGCCTGTCAATTAATCGTCACTTAGGGGATGACGAGGGAAATAATGGAAGCGTATGGAGTTTATAAAGGTGGTGACAGTTGCGTCAGTCAAGCGTCTGTTCTACTAACACATGCGGAATTTACTTTTTTGGGCGCTACATGACCCAGTGCATTTTCTTCTTTTTTTTTCTTTTTCTGTTCTTTTTTTTACATTTCCTTTTCTTAGTTCTTGACACGTGTTTGTTTCCGGTTGTGTGCCATCGATTATGGGAGTGATTATTTTGGTACATCACATTGGTGATGATGACGGGAGGAGGTTGGGAATGACGCACATGCTAGTTGTGTATTTATTAGTGTTCCCTTCGAAATAAAATTTTCAGTTGCTAGTAAGTGCGTGTTTCATCATGAACATTTAACAACACGCCCAATTGGCAGTCATCCTAAAAAATGAGGAGCTGCTAAAAATGATTTGATCACGAATTAATAAAGAGCATCACAAGGATGAGCAAAAAAAATGATAGATGACACCACTGATCAACCGAAGCCCTATAAACATACCAGTTTAAGAAACTTTCAGAAAAACTAAAACGCAGCTCCAATTTGCCACGTGCTGCTGTGGCAAAGTTGGCAATAAAGAAACTCGAATGGGATGTCGCAAATCTATTGTATCGTTGCATGTAGTTCTATATTTTTCCATACACTTGTACATCACATATTCTAGCATGTACCAAGGCCATAAAAGAAATGCGTACAGTGCAGCATCTGAGTTCACATTTGTTTTCATCGGGCTTTCATCGGCGTTAGGATATCCTTGAAATTAAGACTTTGACGGATGCTCGTCTGGTTGGCAAGAATCATTGAACAAAAAGGCAAAAGTGCCAACTACAATAGGATAAAATGTGATGACATTTCTGGATTGTAAAAAAGACTTTCGTCCTGGGTGCTAAAACATCATTATATTTTTGTTCTGTTGTGGTCGGTGATTTTGCCTATTTTTTCAAGGATATCTTTGATAGCATTATGTGCAAATCTACTGTGTTTTCTACTAAAGCCACTCTCCCAATCAGCAGCTGTATTTCTAATGGTGAACAGCAGCTTCGTAAAAGTAGAAAAAAAAAAAAACTTCCTTTAAAATACGTGTGTTGTGTAAGCAAGGAGCGCTGTAAACCCACAGCTGGCTGACCGACAGGTCGAGTTATGTGAGCCGCGCTTAGAGCAACACGCAGACGTCTTTAGGTGAGACCCGTTTCTCGTGTTTAATGCTTCAGGGGGCCTCTCACCGGGCTTCGTAACAATTTTTAGTTAGAGGCTGGCAGTTGTGTGTTCAAAGAGGGGAATTATGCCACAATACTCTGTTCACTCGGTTCATTACGAGCTGAGAAAACCAGTATCCAGAAGTGGCATGAAACTGTGATGTGAGAAGGCGATATCGAAACCCTTGCTGCTCACCCGGCGTAGCCCTGCTTATCCCTTGTAGTCTCTTGCCTGTCTTTTCTGACATCTCAGCAAGAGTTCACGTGCGCATGACGTGCCCGAGCAAGCCCAACTCCTAAGCACGTGAGTGGCATTGCTTCATTTGATCAGCATTTTTTTTGTGGTCTACTGCCTCGCTGATCATCAGGCTTGCAACCTTTTACTAAGTACGAAAACTGCGACATTTCACTGGCATGAGCCAGTGCTGTATTAACATTTACTTAGACGGGGTAGATTAGATGAGCATAATGAGTGCTCCAACGCGCAGGAGTGTTACTTTTGCTTCCAGGGCTGGCGTCTTCTTGATACGCTAACTGTGGGGACACGAACGCATACAAAATGTAGGCACATTTGCCCTGCGTCTCGTTGCAAATGACCGGAAAAAATTACAAGGATCACAGATTCTTTTTGTATGTCTCATTATTTATCTCAAGTTTTATTCGTCTATTCAAGCAACAAATTACACAAACAACACATGTCATCTGAAATAATTCACGCCATGTCACGTGCTACTGTTGACGATGTCAGAGCACAGTCGCCTATGTAGAGGACCAATGTCTCAACACTACTGTCTACGTAGGGCAATTTTGTCGTCTACGTCATCCCCTAATTCTCTGGACGCGCCCACAAAAGGAAGGGCATGCAACGTACATCTTGAAATTTGATTCATCGCTATGGTGTGTAGTGATACAAATTTGGCAGACGTGATCATGAACGCCCCATGTATGCATAGCACTTGTCAGCTCAAGGTTGTCAAACCTGGTGAGGGAACCTTTCAGGTTGGAGAAAAGCAATTATTGGCCGGTGAAACACTGGTCCTGACCAGTGTGGCCACGCTGGTTGGCTACAAAAAATAAGCATAATGGAGGCCAAGCTCCATTTAGCGGCATGTACCAGAAACGTTACCATCCGGGTGTATTTACATAACGCCAGAGGTCGCACAACACAGTCGGCATAGCCAGAAGCAAATGTAACCATGCCACAGCAGTCCTGATTTCTAACTTGCTTCATTGTTGTAGTTTCGGTTTCACTTGAAAATGTAGCCCCCAACTTCATATTTCATATTTAGGTTGAATGGGTCGACGCACAATTGAGTGTACTATGTTAAAACTTGTATCATTATAAGGTGTTTGGATGGGATTTTCTTATCATGTAGACACACTTTTATTATTCATTGACCTCTATGCATTTTGCTTCTTAGCATTTGTACTACCAGAGAGTAACAGGATCCGGAGATAATAGCAGCCCTTCCTAAAGTGGCAAGAAGTGTATGTATAGATATACATATGTGTGTGTGTGTGTGTGTGTGTGTGTGTGTGTGTGTGTGTGTGTGTGTGTGTGTGTGTGTGTGTGTGTGTTGCCACGTGTGTTTCTTATTTTCAGTTTCGTCTGATTCAGTTTTCGCCCACAAAGCGGAATGCTGAGCGCAAACTGCGCCTCATTGTTCAAGAAGGTTCGGGATTATTCCAGATCTTGCGCGAAGATCAGTGATAAGGCTGGAACATTTGAGGACACATGTATAGATTCCACCATACTTCGCCGCTTGTCAGTTGATCGACGGCAGACGTTCTGTTCGCCGCTATCAGTGCCCTTGTATTACTGTAATCTTACCTTTAGTTTCCTGGCCACAAGTTTGGCCACATAAACAGTGCCGTCTTAACATAGAATCTCCCTTCGTTCGTGTCACGACCCCGTCACAATATTTGTTCTGAAGTTGTGCACTTTTGATACACTTCTGTTATTGCAACTGTTCTCCTAGGTTTGACAAGGTTAAGTGTCTGTTTACTTGTAGAAATAAGGCAGTGGCGCTTTTCGTCCTAGCCCATAGCATTGCACCAGTCAGCCCTGAATTAGCCATCACAGAGGTCATATTTGCTCTGATATCTTTGGGGCTTGTTGTTTACTTGCTCTTTGACCTTTTAGTTCCATTCTCTCTCTTGCAAAGAAGTTCTGATGCATAAAAAATGTGTTGTCTCAGGCGAAGCCAGTGGGAGGCCGCCATTCACTGTGTGGCCCTGCTGGATGGCCTGCTGTCGCTGGCTAGCTATAGCGGCTCACTCACCGATGCCGCCTGCACACCACGTTTTCTGTCGCACCAGTCCCAGGTGAGACTGGCCCCACTTACCTTTATTCTGGGCTCTTTCTAAGTACGTTTCTTTGGTAAGGCAGGATACGAGTTAATTAAGAAGGGGAAATTGACAATCACTTGTTCGTAGCACCAGCCAGCTTGCAGGAATCTGAAGAACCAATTTGCAATATAGCATCTATGCTTAGTCTGCGTTTCAATTCAGCCACACCGCATACAGCTGTTCACCAAGACTGCTTCACTCAGTACATTTATTTTGGCCCATGCGTCATGCCTACTGTCAGCTGTGTGCTACTTTCTACCTCTTGGAATGAAGACTTTACCCTCGCAGGCTGATGTCATCTTGCAAGGGCTCACTATCAAATGATGCAATGCCCAGGGGTGCAACAGATGGGTCAATTGCGCCAATTTGATAAAATTCCCAATTTCGGTACCCAGCTGTGCCAAAGCCATTAAGTTTGCCAAAATTGTGCCAAGCTGTGCCAAAATGCCCAACAAACCTCAAAATTTTATCAGTTGCCCTAATTTCAACGAGAAATGGAGGCCACGTTGGCTACCTGTAGTTTGCATCGTCAATCAATCCAGGGATGTAGACATGAAACCTAAACCGCCGTGTGAGATGTACAGTCGAACACAAATATATCGAACTCAGAGGATCACGATTTAGTTTGATATATGAAAAATTTGATGATATATGAAAAATTTGATATAAAAGAAATTACATGCCCCAAGAGCTTACCTGTAGCGGACCATCACCTATAAAAGGCACATTCAAGAATGACAATTAATTCCGCACACACGTTACAACAGAATCATTTATTTGCATTTAAAAAAAAAAAAACGCTTAACTTGGCATGCTTCGTATTTCAAATGTTGAAGACTCTAGTCTCAATCTTATCAAGGCTTTGCAGCTGCGACAGCCTGGCTCCTTTCATGTGGCCGATACAACGGCGGATGACGTTGAACGCTGTCACCACTTCAGCAGCAGAGTAAGCACACGTAGCCAGCGCCTCATCCGGACGATCCTTCTCGTCACATGAGCTGTCGGCCTAGGCATCCTGAGTCCCTGTTATCGCAACTACTACGTTCCCGTCAGCGAGCCTCGCAACGGCCTGGACATTGCAGTGCGCTTCCACGAAATCATCCGCAGATACTTCCTGTAGAACTGCTGCCGGGAAGCGAGACGACAACTCGCCAAATGCGTCGTCTATGCGCTAGTTGTCTTCACCGGTTTCTGCAAGTTCCGCGCAGTCTCAAAGCCTACCTTGAGGAGAAAAATGACCACTGTGTCCGTCTTCACGTCTCGCCAGGAGTTGAAGATTTTCGCGGGAGAAAACTTAGCAGAAATTTCTGGGCACCCCTTCGTCATCCACTACTGGTTGTCCTGGCTGCTGACAGCTTCGCTTTCGCCAGAAATGGCTTTGCCAAAGATGTTGTAGCGCTGATTAAATCGGGGAAGCCACCCGGTTTTGTCAGCCAAGTTGTTTCACCGAGTGCAGCGGCAAACCATTTGGCCTTGGCGATCAGCATCGGGCCATCCACTGGAATATTTCTTGCACACATTTCTAAAAACCAGGCATAGAGTGTTTTTTCTACATTCCCGTGGGCGGGCAGGAGCATGCACATGATAGGCTTCCGACATTTGCTGCTCCACCGCCTTTGCCTTGATATCTGTCTTGTTCTTCAACAAGGTACTCAGAGTGCTCCGTGGTATGCCGAAGTGGTCCGGGAAGGTGAAACGTTTCTTGCCCGCCCTACATGCTGAATAGCCTTCAACTTCATCGCAACGTCAAGGGTCTTGCGCTTCCCGACGCTGGCCATAGCTACACAAAAAGTCGACAATTCAAAGAGTACGCAGTGGCTTTGCACACCATGCACGCAAAAGAGAAGTGCTGCACGTGCGGTGGTACGTAGTGGTGGTAGTGGTTAAAAAAGGAAGAAGGCGCCTTATAAACTAATTCTAACGTTCCTCTTATTATAGCACTGCAACGCAGGCAGCCTGGTCTGAGTCCTTGCAGGTGCCACTTTGCTTTCCCCGTCCTGCCTATAGTGACCCTTTTTAACACATCTGTAGCGATAGGTAATTATTAGGGTGACTTGAATATTTGAATGAGTGTGACAGTAGTTGAATTTGTTTCAGCACGAATTTAAATTATTCAGTATTTCAAAGTATAGAAAATTAACACATATATCTTTATTTTAGCTCATATTACTATGGCGTGGGCGTGCAGACATTTGAACTTATAACTCAGGGTGTCTACAATCCGGAAAGCCTGGAAAAGTTGGGGAGTTTGTGCCCTTTTGGAAAAGTCAAAGAAAAGTCGGGGAATTTCTTAAAAATCTCGCATGGTCATGAAACTGATGGCAGTCTGTCTGTTCACCACAAAAATAAACATTACTATTTATCAAATCTTATGAAACCATTCTTCCGGCTGCAACTACAGTGAACAGCAAGATGATGTGTGAAAAAATAAAAAGCTGTGCACTGTTGCTTCCTAGTTCAGAAGCAAGAGGATACACCTACTAAAGGAATGCAAAGTTTACTGATGTTTTGGCACCCGCTGTGTGAGCTTTGTTCACAATAATACCCATAAAAAAGGCAAAGGTTATATAGTGGGTGGGGGGACGGGACAAGGGTCTTAAATTAGCGCAAAAATGTAAAAAATTCCGACTTTCAAAAATTGCTGTTTGGGGTATTTATAATTGAAAGTATGTTTTGGACAAATTTTATTTTACGGCAAAATACAATTTCTTTTTGTTAAAGGCCTAATATATGAAATTACAGATGTCTTTAAAACTGATAGCCTAATTTTCTTGGCTTTGTTATTTTTGTGAAGTTAATCTGCCTTACAAAAGTTTTGAGCAAGTTTCTCCGAAGATATCTAAACAAACTTGGTGCCATTCTTTTCCGCAGCTCTTGAACTACAGGCTAAGGCTTTTCTTTTTCTTTCAACCTTGATGGAATTGTGATTTTATGATAAATACCAGCTAATCATTGTAAGCTCATTGTAACCATTCAAGTTTAAAAATTATTTCTGATGAAAGAAATTGCCATTTTGACATCTAGTTTGCTTTAGCCTGTAGGATGAACTTTTTAGAAGAAACATGTAGTTTTGAAAACTAACTTTTTTTATTCTGAGTTACTATAATGAACCGTAAAAAATTACCTAATTATAATGTGGAAATTTGTCAATACTTTTTTCTAAATGAGATATTTGAAATCTGTTTCCAGATTTGAAATTTCCTTTCAATGATACACATGCATGGTAATTTTCATGACAATAGGATAATAAATAAGAAACCTTTTTTAAGACTCTCGTCCCCCCTTAAGTATCCCTAAGTACGAGACGTAGGCACTGTAACTACATTGCCGGTAGCGTCCCATCACTTTTGTTCAGCGTAAGTGCAGTCATCTGTATGTGGTGGTATTCTAGCTGCAGGCAGATGCAAGCTTTTCTTTGGCCAAAGCTCAGGCGCTTGACGAGTCAGTTTGGTGGCCTGTAGACTCCACATGTCTAGCGAGGAAATATAAGGTCACGTGTAGTTTTCTGATGTCATATTCGTGTTGTTTAACTCTTTTCTTAAAATCAGTTGTCTCACCAATGTTTTGGTTGTCGCAATTGTGGCAGCCTAAAGCATAAATAAGACCATAGAATTTTTCACTTGGCAACTTTTCCTTTATGTTGCATAAAGCGTTCCTTAGCTTCTATGTTGGTACATTCACTATCTTGATGTTTGTTGCTTTTACATATCACACAGCATATCTGACTTTCCAGTCACAACATTACACACGTTGGTAAAATTGTGCATGTTTGTCTTGACCATGATTTCTGCTCGGTTTAAAGGCCTTCTGGTTCAGATTGTACCGGCATTAGCAGAGGCTTGAAGGTTTATGTCATGCCTTTTATTTAATACAGTCGAATCTCATTAATTTGAACACGATTCATTCAAACTTCCCATTAATTTGAACTCACGCTGAGATCCCGTCAAAGCTATGTGTATTTCAATGGACGAAAACCTCCTGTATTTCAAACGTGCAAACACTTGCGACGGTTAATTCGAACCCTGCTCCGAAAACGCTCTCAGCACCATGCCCAATCCCGCGGCCGCACCTCCGACACATCAACGCTGCGCGCGAAGGAAAAGAAAGAAAAAGGCTGTGATGGAACGTTTGCTCTCAAATGCCGATCTGCAACACGCTTGTGCCACGCTTCTCCCTTTTCTCTCCCTGCCATGTAAAGACCCTTCTCCTTTCAACGCCGTGCATGAAGAGAGAGAGAAAAAAAAGCTGTCACGGAGTGTTGGCTCTTTCTCACGCACCGGCGCCACGCTTCCCCCTTTCCTGTGCTTGCCACATAGACCCTTCTTTTTTCAACGACGCGCGCAAAGAGAGCAAAAAAAAAGAACAACTGCCGTGGAGTGTTGGTTCTGTCTCGAATGCCAATCTGCTTCGCTCCGCGTAGAGACGCTCCTCCTTTCTCGTCACGCGCGGGCCACGCTGCGACAGCGGCGCAGAGGGTAGCAGCAGAGATGCAGTCATTCTTGTTGTCGCCTTTAGAGAACGGCACTGAAACGTGGTCCCTCAAGGGCTGCAGAAGATAAGACCTTTTCCCTTTCCTTAAACCACACACTCGTTCTTCAGAGAGTGTCAGTGCTGGACATTGCCGCGCGCAACTTCTCTTGCCAGGAGAATGCTGAAGCTGAAGTAGAAATGCTTTGCTAGCTACGTGCAAAATTTATGAAGACAAATGTGTGCAGACGCGCATCACCGATTACTTAAATTAAGGAGGAATGTCCTGTGATATTTGAATAAATGTAAGTCTTCTGAAGAAACTTCCCTCTCATGTGTTAGCTCAAGGCACATGCGCCACTGCATGGTGAGCCCTCCATTGATTTAGCTTTCATTTATTCGAACTTCTTTTATTTGAAACAAATTTTTGGGCCCCTTCGAGTTCTAATTATCAAGATTCGACTGTATTATTGTTACCATCATTGTTACTATTGGGGATGCAACAGCAA